TAGATTCTTGGGGCACCTCCCAATAAGCGATCAGGAGATGGGTCAGGAATTTCTCCCAATCCTTGTGAGTCACTTCAGAGGTACGGAGCATTTGCTTCAACGTACCATTGAAGCGTTCGCACAGGCCATTGGTCTGGGGGTGGTAAGGGGAACTCAGAATCAGTTTAATGCCGCATAACCTCCACAGTTGGTGGGTCATTTCAGCAGTAAATTGGGTGCCCTGATCTGAGAGGATCTCCCGGGGAAAGCCCATCCGGAAGAACACTTGCATCAGGGCTTCAGCCACAGTCTCTGCCCGAATATTGCTCAGGGCAACTGCCTCGGGATACCGAGTCGTGTAGTCCACGATGGTCAGAATGTGGTTCACTCAAACAGATAATGTTCCCTCCCAGGGTCCTCCCCCTTCCCAGGGGTCATATAACAGAATCTGACCCTGCCACTCAGTGTCCCCTCCCAGGGTCCTCCCCTTCCCAGGGGCCCTTGCATGTGACAGGAACTCCAGCCCCTTTGTCCCCAGTTCCCGCCACCCAAATGCAGGGTTTCCTACTTCCTGTGGGTCTATTTCCCAGGACCCTCTGTATCTGGGAGTCCCAGAGCAGGAAAGATTACCGTAGAAAGCCCACCAAACCGCCATTGCCCCCAAGAGAGTGACCCCACCAATCCCAGAGATCTCCCCGAAAGGTAAGTGCCTCAGTTCGTGGGACCCCTGGGTAAAACCAGACAAGGGAAGCGTCCTCATTCGGTCTATACGAACGGCGGCCACCCAGGGAAGCACTCATTAATTACATGCAGGCTTGGACTGGCCATCGGGCCGCGGTGGCCGTGTGGCCGAGGCCGGCAGGGGAGGTCCCAGGATCTCCCCTGCCGGTCTATGCAGGGCTGGCACTCTCCTAGCGCCGGCCCCGCTGTTTGCCACGACAGGCCGGTGGGAAGATCAAAGCTCTCCCTCACCGGCCCAAATGCGGCCGCCAACAGGCTGGGGAGGGAGGGAGGGAGACAGCCAGCCAGCCAGCCTGCTTGGCAACTATATATATATCTTTAATTTTTAATCTTTAATTTTTAATTTTTAATTTTTAATATACATTTTTTTTTCTCACTACACTTATTCTACACACCTATGTCATTATGGGAGTATTTATGGGTGTACTCATTTATCACCAATATCATTCCACTCTTCCTATGAGATAAGTTAGAAATATATTCACCACTTTATTTATTTCTCTCATATATCAACACACTATTTGTAATAGATCTATTTATATTAAATTTAATCTATCTTTACTAGACTCATTATTATCACATTTCCTCACTTTAATAATGTAGCACAACATAGGCACTATTCCATCAAGAGATGGAGATATACACATATATATCTTTACCTATTTATATTTTACATATAATTTTATAGATTAAGTCACTATTTTTCATATATTAAATACATTCTAAATATAATATAACTTGGATTTTATTGTTATTACAATTTGATTCCTTAGCCTGATCCCTTATTTTGTTATTTTGTTATTATCTTTTAAATCATGTATCTTCCCCTTTAAACAGCTCCCTCAAACAGCTTTTCGTGTAAGTTCTTAATTAATAACATATATTTATAGTTTGTCATTACACATATTTAATTAGATATGACATATACCATACAACATATATATATCTCTTTAGACATATTTTTTTCAATGTGTTTTTCTAAGAATTACCACCTTACATGCTCCATCGAAACATTATTACATCGAGCCTTAAATATTAGCTTCCGAGTAGATGCGGTCTCTCTCTTTGCTTAATCATTTTTAACCTTTTAGAACATACCTTAAACGTATTCAATAACAATTAATAACACAACTTGGTTTTTATTGTATTTTATTTTCCTTTTCAAATAGTTCCCCCACCAGCTCTCGTATAGGTTCTCAATTAATATACATTTATGGTTTGTCATTATGCATATACCATTAAAGATAATGCATACCATATAACACATACTCTTTTTCCTGATATACTTTTGATATATATCTGCTTCTAATGAATTATGGCAAACTATTACCACATCGAGCTTCCAATACGAGCTTCCAAATAGGTGCCGTCTTTCTTTATATCTAACTATTTCTAACCTTCCCCACCATTCATAACACATTTAGAGATAAATTTGGATCTTCACATTGAACATTACCGTTATACTTACGAGTTATACTACAAATATTTATCAATGTTTGATTTCATTAACTAACACTATCCATTCACTCTCTAAATAATTAATCATACATATCCTTATTTCTTGATTTATACTTATACATATTTATTCATATGAATTTTCTTTACAAATTAAGGATATGTATAATTAAGATATACAATTTTTACCAAATAAAGTATTCATACATGATCTAATGACGTCCCAGTACTGCTTTTATAAAGTTATGAAGTATGCGATTTATCAACTTTCCATTTCTATGCAACTCTGAAACACTAATTCTCACTTTGTATTTTTATATTTTTATTTAATTAGATTTATATATCTTCATCTCTTATCAATTTGTATACCTAATTAATTTATGTAATATTTACTGATGTTTTTAAGCATGTATTCCTCTGATCACTTTATTGTAACAAACGATCATTTTATTGTAACAACTGATTATTTGATTGTAACAATTTATTCGAACATGTGCAAACTGTCTAAATATGCCGGCTGTGTATATAAATTACGTCCCGGCATTTGATCTTCACTATGTCTCTGATGAAATGGGGCTGACACCCACGAAACGCGTTAGACAGACTGATACCAGTAAGCAGGATACGGAGCAAAGCTAAACCGGCAGAAGTAATCTCTCTCTCTGAACCAGAGAACACCGTCAATCAGGGGACCGACCTACCACCCAGAGTGAGGTCTGGGACGCACGCCCAATCTGTTCGGCAGCCGGCAAGTACAGAGACATATTTCTGTTACATTAAATCTATATCCATCCTAGCCGGACCCTGTGACTGTATAGAGAACAACATAATTCTTCTGCTGGTAACCCTTTTACTAACCGTTCCTGACCTATATTTTAACATATTTTAATATATTGCATGTATTTTTTATATATACATTTTTTATTCTTTGATATGTTTTTTGGATCATAATAAAAAAAATTCTGATTATTAGAAGTTTTCAGAGTTTTATCACTAAGTATCAGAACTTAGTGACTTCTCTAATCTTTTACAAGCTTTCTTGTAATTCATATTACATTTTTTGCAGTACCTATAGTAGGTTTATTATATTCTTAGCACACTATTTAGCTGATCTATCCATTTAAAGAGACAGTGTCTTGGATTAATAATACCACTATATTTCAATACTTAAGAGAAGACAGCGGTTTATGCTGTTATTCTTTATTATTCAACTATCTAAGCTAAGTAGATTATTTGGTGTATACTATATTGGATCTGCTTGTAGCAGATTTAAAGCTATACACACCATACATATTGTTGCCATATTTGAACAACTGTCGCAAGTCATTCTATATACAATATAGAAGCCACTATTGGGTTTAATAGCTCCTGGACATTTGAACTGTACCTAGGTGCGATTCTTTTGGATTTATCACTGTGTGGACAGGTATTGGGTGAATTCCTGTCTTTGTCCAGTATTCTGAGCGACCCATTGGAAGTCAGACTCCCTCAACCCTGTGTGTTGCACTAGGCATACCGGATTTTTATTTATCATGAAGGACTTGCCTGCTGAAGTCATACTAGGGAACGATTTGGGACTCCTAACCTCTGCTTATGCTCCAAGGGAAACTGCTGAAGCCCAACCAGTAACCACTATCCTACAAGCCTGGACGGCAGAAGCTGGCCCACATGTTGCGGAGACTCTGGTAAGAACTGAACCCCTGACTGACAGTAGACCCAACCCCATTAGGCCGGGACACCCCCAAGGAGTTTGGGAGTGAAACCTGGGAAGATCCTACTCTTCACAAATATTGTTGTATAGATTAACTGAGAGTCACAGTAAAGGATCAGCCCCATCCCAGAAGTGACAACTGGTAATAGCTAGGAAATACCGGAGGGAGCTTCTTCGGATCGGGCATGACATTCCCCAGCAGGACACCTTGGAGTACATCGCACATCTCACTGGATAACTTAGAATTTCTATTGGCCGGGTGTTTTGAGAGATGTGCGACAGTACTGCAAAACGTGCAATACCTGTGTCACATCATGCCATGTTCTGCGGAGATGTCTGGGTTTGGCTTCTGGTATCCAGTATTCTTTTTACATTTCTTGTTTAGTTTTTCTTGGTTTTTCTGGTTTTCTATGCTATGTCTGGTTTTCTTTATGCTGGGTTTTTCTGGCTTCTGTTTTCTGTCCTGCCCTGGTTTGAGTTCTTCTAGTCTTGTCTTGTTTTCTTGTTAGGTGCCTCTCCTAGCCTTGCCTTGTTTCTGTACTGGATACATTCTTGCTGCATTCCCTATTCAGCTCCTGGGAGGTCTGCTTAATTCCGAGCTTCAAGTTCCTGGGATCCACTGTAGCTGCATCAGGGACCTGGTATGTGGCCAGGGGCGGACTGAGAGCCTTTGGGGCCCCCGGGCAAAATTAGATCCCAGGCCCTTTGAAGGCCAAATATATGTGCATTAAATAAATGTTAAATATAACTCATAATACAGCATTCCTTTGGATGTGTATATTGTGAAGACCTGTGTATCAATGCATGTTTGTATTTGAGTCTGTGTGAATGCACTTGTGCATGTCGGGATGACTACATGTGCTTTTTTGTATATAGTGTCTGTGTGAATGCATATGTGACAGGTGACAGTGTGTGAGGGAGAAGGTGACAGGTGGAAGAGTGTGGGAGGTTGTGACAGGTGGCAGAGTGAGGGGGTACCTGGTGGCAGAGTGAGGGAGGGAGGGGTTGAGTGGTGACAGAGTGAGGGGGAGACACAGTGAGTGGGGGTGACTAGTGACATAGGGAGGGAGAGGGGGTGACTAGTGACAGAGTTAGGGAATGGGTGACTAGTGGCAGAGTGAGGGAGGGAAGGGGTGACTGGTGACAGAGTGAGGGGATGACTGGTGACAGAGTGAGGGAGTGACTAGTAACAGAGGGAGGGAGTGACTAGTGACAGAGGGAGGGGGTGACTGTCACTAGTCACCCCATCCCTCTCTCTGTCACTGTGTCACCCGCTCCCTCACTCTGTCACTAGTCACTCCCTCCCTAACTATCACCAGTCACCCCTTCCTTCCTTCACAGTGACAGAGTTAGGGAGGGAGTGACTAGTGACAGAGTGAGGGAGCGGGTGACACAGTGACAGAGTTAGGGAGGGAGTGACTAGTGACAGAGAGAGGGATGGGGTGACTAGTGACAGTCACCACCTCCCTCCGTCACTGTGTCACCCCCTCCCTCACTCTGTCACCAGTCATCCCCTTACTCTGTCACTAGTCATCCCTCCCTTCCCTCACTCTGCCACTAGTCACCCCTTCCCTCACTCTATCACCTGTCACCCCCTCACTCTGTCACTAGTCACCCCCTCACTCTAGTGACAGAGAGAGGGAGGGTGTGACTAGTGACAGTGAGTAAGGGTGTGACTAGTGACAGAGAGAGGGAGGGTGTGGCTAGTGACAGAGTGAGGGAGGGAAGGAGTGACTAGTGAGAGTGAGGGAGGTGGTGATTAGTGACAGAGGGAGGAATGGGGTGACTATCACTGTGTCACCCCCTTCCTCACTCTGTCACTAGTCACCCTCTCCCTCCCTCATTCGGTCACTAGTCACCCCCTCTCTCACTCTGTCACCAGTCATTCCCTCACTCTGTCACCAGTCACCCCTTCCTTCCTTCACAGTGACAGAGTGAGGGGATGACTGGTGACAGAGTGAGGGAAGGGATGAATAGTGGCAGAGTGAGGGAAGGAAGGGATGACTGGTGACAGAGTGAGGGAATGACTGGTGACAGAGTAAGAGAGGGGGTGAATAGTGACCAGAGTGAGGAAGGGGGTGACACATTGGTAGTCACCCCATTCCTCCCTCTGTCACTAATCACCACCTCCCTCACTCTCACTAGTCACCCCTTCCCTCCCTCACTCTGTCACTAGTCACACCCTCCCTCTCTCTGTCACTAGTCACACCCTCCCTCTCTCTGTCACTAGAGTGAGGGGGTGACTAGTGATGGGGTGACTAGTGATAGTTACCACCTCCTTCACTCTGTCACTAGTCACCCCCTCCATCACTCTGTCATTGTGTCACCCCCTTCCTCACTCTGTCACTAGTCACCCACTCCCTCCCTCACTCTGTCACTAGTCACTCACTCTGTCACTAGCCATCCCCTTCCTTACTGTCACTAGTGACCCACTCCCTCTGTCACTAGTGACCCACTCCCTCTGTCACTAGTCACACCCTCCCTCTCTCTGTCACTAGTCACACCCTCCCTCACTCTGTCACTAGAGTGAGGGGGTGACTAGTGACAGAGGGAGGGGATGACTGGTGACAGAGTGAGGGACGGAGGGGGTGACTAGTGATAGAAGGAGGGAGGAAGTAGTGACAGAGGGAGGTGATGACTAGTGACAGAGTAAGGGAGCTGGTGACTAGTGACAGTCACCACCTCCCTCACTCTGTCACTAGTCACGCCTTCCTTCCCTCACTCTGCCACTAGTCACCCCCATCACTCTAGTGACAGAGTGAGGGAGGGTGTGACTAATGACAGTTAGGCAGGGAAGGGGTGACTAGTGACAGAGGGAGGGGTGACTAGGGACAGAGTGAGGGAGGTGGTGACTAGTGACAGTCACCACCTCCCTCACTCTATCACTAGTCACCACCTCCCTCCGTCACTGTCACCCCCTCCCTCACTCTGTCACCAGTCATCCCCTTACTCTGTCACTAGTCACCCCTCCCTTCCCTCACTCTGCCACTAGTCACCCCTTCCCTCCCTCTGCCACTAGTCACCCCTTCCCTCCCTCTGTCACTAGTCACCACCTCCCTCTCTCTGTCACTAGTCACCCCCTCCCTCTCTCTGTCACTAGTCACACCCTCCCTCACTCTGTCACTAGAGTGAGGGGGTGACAGGTGACAGAGTGAGGGAAGAGGTGACTAGTGGCAGAGTGAGGGGATGACTAGTGACAGAGTGAGGGAGGTGACGACTAGTGACAGTGGGGGGTGACTAGGGACGGGGGGTGACTAGTGACAGAGGAGGGGGGTGACTAGTGACAGTGAGATGGGGGGGTGACTAGTGACAGTGAGAGGGGGGGTGACTAGTGACAGTGAGGAGGGGTGACTAGTGACAGTGGGGGGGTGACTAGTGACAGTGAGGAGGGGTGACTAGTGATAGTGAGGAGGGGGTGACTAGTGACAGTGAGGGG